TACTAAATAAATATAAATATAAAAATGCATATGGATTACAGGGTCTGGGCCTGGCTGTTCTAAACCAGAATTTCTGTGGGAGCAGGGGAGAAGGAAATCTATAAACCTGTATTATTCTAAAGCTTCCCAGGTGATTTTGATGCATAGCCAGGGTTGGGAACTACTGTCTCAAAAAGCACAGAGTACGTATTCAGGAAGCATCTGTTCAAAGGAAGAATGAACTCTTGTCTACCTGTAACATTTAGCTTGATGCCTTATACTTAACAGTTGTTCCATAGATATTGGTAGAGGAAATGAAAGCCTATTTTGAGTTCAGATACCAGCCCCCCATCCCACTTAGCTGGGGTGGGGCCATGTACGTGCCACCACCCCACGGTCCATCCGGGCAGATGGGCAGCTTCTCAGCTGGACCATGGATGGCCAGCTGGCCCCTCCCTCTGATGCTTCCAGCACACTGCAGTCTGAGCAGTCGGGTGTGTGTTTGTTTGTTTCAGCTCAAATGTGGTTATGACTTTCAGTGGTTCCCTCTTACCTCCAATATAAAATTTACTGTTAGGAGTACTTTAGAGCCTTTGGGATCTGGTCTGACCCTACCTTCCCTGGCCCCTGTCATTCAGCATTAAGGTACTGATGGCTGGCACTGCTGAGGACATCAGGGACAGAGCAGTGTGCACACCCTCTCCTACCATCATACAGACCCACTTCCCAGTCCCCGAGTGCAGTCCACCCTTTTATCATTTTGCTTTTGCTTTGCCCACAGTGTTCCTTCTGCTTAGAATGCCTTCCCCTTATCCCTGTTTTACTTACTGATTGATGTCAAGCTTTCCAGGGCCCCTATAAATAATAAGTTGGCACTTCATCGTTTAATACTTGATACATACCTTTAGTATAAGGCCTACCATTAGAGTCCAATTATTAGTTGACAGTTCTCTTTCTTCTCCTCGACTCTTGAGGACAGAGACTTGTCTCACATGCTTCAGTTTCTCCAGCTCTGAGCCCTGTGTCTGACCGTGTTAGGTATTAACGTATGTGCTGGGTAGAATTGACACAAGAATGAAGTTTTTATGTATGTGCCAAGAAGGCACATCGAAGTGCTACATAGTCACTACGCTTTTAAAAGTATTCCTGCCACAAAATGGTAGATAGTCCCCCTTTTGAACAGTGTCATACTTGGATATTCCAAAGTTAAGAGGATGTTCTGATGACATATAAGATGATACTTCCTTTTCTATGTGTTATTCTGTGAGTGTGATTAAGATATTCTTAAATGTTAACAGTTAGCCTTTTACTAACTCTCCTAACCTAACAATCTAAGCGAAGAATCACGCCATCCTAGAGTAGTGGGTGGGGCTTATCTTTGAGCACCTTGGAGTATTAGCCTGATGTGAAATACTGTTCCCCGAGTGGAGGTGGGGCCTCGTGGGAGTTTAGAGTGCTGTGAACTGGAGTGTTTTGGAAGAAGCAGTAGTTTTGAGGTGGAAGGACAAAATAGATGTCAGCATGGAACTAAGCCAACATGGAAACCACCATTTAAAACCATAGTATGTCTTTTGCCAGATCTGGAACTGCCCAGTCAGCTGGATAAAGAATGGAAATAATGAACTGGCTTCAGAAAACCCAAACAGATGAGAATAAATGAGTTAGGAGAAAAAGTAGATTTTACAGGGGCCCAGAGCAGAGACCCCAAGGGGGCAAAAGAGGCATCAGCCAAATATGTCATTGATCTATAACCAGTGAAGGACAGAGTCCCGCTGTCTGTTCAGGGGTGTAGAGGAAGCTGTAGATTCCAATTCATTTAATTCCTTTTTATTCCTAGACATAACTCCTTCACACTTCTAGGAAAGGTTCATAGACTATTACAACTAAAGGCAGGATAAATAAGAGTAGAAGAGGTAATGTTTTGTAAAGAAAATGAGACAATAGTCACACCAGAAACCCAGGGAAACAATGGCTACAACCAGTGATGCTGAGAGTTCGAAGCTTCTTTGTCTTGGGAACAGAAGAATTTGTTAGTAGTAATGTAGTTTTTCCTGTGGCAAGATGAGATCAAAGAATTAAATGGATCCTAAAGTTTAAAGGACACTAAATAACATAATGGGCACAATTATAGTAGCTTTAGAAAAGAGTAAAAAGAAATTCATTCTGTGGCCATCTGGTCTCCACAACTGAATGAATGCCACGGGTTAAAGGTAGGACTCCCGTGCTTGGAAGACCTTGCCACTAGGAACCAAAGAGGTATCTTCAAGCTCTGCCACTTTCCCGACATCACTTGACAAGAGAGAGAGGCTGGATGAATAGCTACTCAGTATGGCCTTTAGACCAGAGGGAGATTTTTGGTTTTAGCTGCGGGAGTGATCTGTTAGTGTATACTGGAATTAGTTTAGTGAGTTGTCATTAACATTTTTTAAATGAGAAACAGTGGAAGAGGACAAAATACATTGAACGTAGTGCATGCATTAAGGTTAAGTTTTAATTTTTGTGTCTTAATCCCTATGTACCATGTATTTCTTATAGAATATTGATATTATATATAAATATATATTTATAAATATATATATATATAACTGTATATATATAATCTTAATATTCTATCCCTCATTAAAATATTAGTTGGTAGGCTCTGGGCATCCCAGGCTTATGGTATAAAATATATAGAAAGAAGAATAAGAATTAGGCTCTGGGAAGAACAGAGATAAGACCCTTGAACCAGAACAAGAGCCCCTGTGCCTTTAAATTGTGCTAATTTAAGAACATGTGACTAGATTCAGTATTTTTTTTGAAATATAATTAATATACAGTGTTATATTAGTTTCAAGCATATAATGATTGAACAGTTTAATACATTGCTCAGTCTTCCCCATAATAAATATATGCTTGATCCCCTTTATCTAGTTCACCCCTCCTCCCACCCACCTCTCCTCTGGTAACCATCAGTTTGTTCTCAGTATTTAAGCATCTGGTTTTTGTCTCTCTTTTTTTCTTCCCTTTGTTCACTTGTTTTATTTCTTAAATTCCACATGTGAGTAAAATCATATGGCATTTGTTTTCTCTGCCTTATTTCACTTAGCATCATACCCTTTCAGTCCATCGATGTTGTTGCAATGGCAACATTCTTTTTTATGGCTGAGTAATATCCCTGTGGGGGGTGTCTGTGTGTGTGTATCACATCTGTTTTATCTATTCGTCTGTCCGTGATCATGTGGGCTGCTTCCATATCTTGGGTGTTGTAAATAGTGCTGCCATAAACATAGGGGTGCATATGTCTTCCCAGATTAGTGTTTTCATTTTCTTTGGGTAAATACCCAGTAGTGGAATTACTGATGGTGGGACAACTGGACAGCTACATGCAAAACAATGAAGGGGGACCACTTTTTTATACCACATACAGAAATAAACTCAAGATGGATTAAAGACCTAAATGTGAGACCTGAAACCATAAAAATCCTAGAAGAGAGCACAGGCAATAATTTCTCTGACATCAGCCATAGAAACATTTTTCTAGATATGTCTTGGGCAAATCAACTATTGGGACTCACAAAAATAAAAGGCTTTCACACAGGAAAGGAAACTATCAACAAAACAAAAAGGTAGCCTACCAAATGGGAGAAGATATTTGCAAATGATATATCCGATAAAGGGTTAATATCCAAAATATCTAAATAATTTATACAACTCAACACCCAAAACCCACAAATAATCCAATTAACAAATGGGCAGAGGACCTGAATAGACATTTTTCCAAAGAAGACATACAGGGTGGCCGACAGACATAGGAAAAGATGCTCAACATCACTCATCATCAGGGAAATGCAAGTCAAAACAACAATGAGATAACCACCTCACACCTATTGGAATGGCTAAAATCAAAAAGATAAGAGGTAGCAAGTGTTTATGAAGGGTTGCAGAAAAGGGAGCCCTTGTGCACTGTTGGTGGAATGTGAATTGGTACAGTTACTATGGAAAACAGTATGGAGATTCCTCAAGAAATTAAAACGAACTACTATATGATCTAGCAGTCTCACTCCTGGGTATATATTCAGAAGAATTGAAATCAAGATCTCGTAGAGATGTCTGTACATCAAAACTACAGTGAGATAGCACTAGACTCAGAGACATACTCTCCTGGTTTTGTGTGTTATTTCTTTTCTTTTTTAGTGTGCCTTCAGTACCTCACAGAGTTGTTTCTGAAAACCCTAATCTCCTTTGGCGATCCTGAAAGGGAAATCCGAGAAAGAATGAGAGAAGGGCCAGTAGCACAGAGAGGCAGGGCACCCATGGTGGTCAGACTTGGTCATGCAGACCGAGGCTTTCCGTCCAGATACCTTTCAGAGCCACAGATTCAGAATGGCTTCTCCAGTTCTTCTCTGAGCAGGCAGAACCTTTGTATCAGGTACTGCTTACTGAGGGAGGGCTTCTTAAAAAAATACATCCTCTTCCTGCTTCATAAATCATGTTTGGGTCATATCATCAGGATTATCTGTGAAGATGGGAGGTTGTGGCAGGACCATGGCATTGCTCAGCTCTAAGAATTTAATGCAGCAGTCTTGAGTGATAGCGAGACCCTAAACATTTGGGGGAGAAGCCCTCCCCCTCCCAAATTTGGACATGTATATATAGCTACAGCTTTGGAGAAAGAGTTCTGGGAGCATTTCCAACTATAACAACTATTAGCAATGGTATGAGAAACAGGCTGGGCGAGATCGAGATTTAGCTTCCAATTGCATTTTATGTGACTCCAAGTCTTGCAAGTAACACCAGAATGAGATAAAAACCTATATTTAAAGTGTTTCAAAAGCATTGAAAATTATCTAGAAATAAAGAAACTACTTGTTGGGGTGCCTAGCTGGCTCATTTGGTAGAGCATGCAACTCTTGATCTCAGGGTCGTGAGTTCAAGCCCCGTGTTGGGCATAGAGCTTACTTTAAAAAAAAAAAAAAAAAAAAGGAAAGAAACTACTTGTGGTGGAAGGGTCTCTGATCATCTCTTCCCTCTTGTTCCAGATGACAGTCATGTCCCTTTCCAGGGACCTCAAGGACGACTTGCACAGTGACACAGTGCTCTCCATCTTAAATGAGCAGCGCATTCGGGGCATTTTATGTGATGTCACTATTATTGTGGAAGACACCAAATTTAAAGCCCACAGCAATGTCCTAGCTGCTTCAAGCCTATACTTCAAAAATATCTTTTGGAGCCATACGATCTGTATTTCCAGCCATGTCCTGGAACTGGATGATCTCAAAGCTGAAGTGTTTACAGAAATCCTTAATTATATCTACAGCTCCACGGTTGTCGTCAAGAGACAGGAAACAGTCACCGATCTTGCAGCTGCAGGAAAAAAGCTGGGAATATCCTTCCTGGAAGATCTTACTGATCGCAACTTCTCAAATTCCCCTGGTCCCTATGTATTCTGCATTACTGAAAAGGGAGTGGTTAAAGAAGAAAAAAATGACAAGAGGCATGAAGAGCCCGCCATCACCAATGGGCCAAGGATCACCAATGCATTTTCCATCATCGAGACAGAAAATAGTAATAACATGTTTTCTCCACTGGACTTGCGGGCAAGTTTCAAAAAGGTCTCTGACTCCATGAGAACCACAAGCCTCTGCCTGGAGAGGACCGACGTGTGTCACGAGGCAGAGCCCGTCCGCACCCTCGCAGAGCACTCGTATGCCGTTTCTTCCGTGGCCGAGGCCTACAGAAATCAACCTGTCCGTGAACACGGCAGCAGTTCCCCTGGTAAGACAGGTAAAGAAAATTGTGAAGCTCTTGCAGCAAAACCGAAAACGTGCCGAAAGCCAAAGACCATCTCCGTACCCCAGGACTGTGACCCAGCTGCAGACAACACGCCACCCCCTCCGGTGACCAGCTTAGAGGTTCGTCAGGAGAGAAGTCCACAGCCAGCTGCCATCCTGCCTTGTTCAAAATCTCCCAGCAACGAAGGAGATGCCCGTTTTTCCAAGGAAGATGAAAATAAATCCTCGGAAGTTCCTGGGCCGCCTGCCGCTGAGGTTCCCCCTCTCGTGTACAACTGCAGCTGTTGTTCCAAATCCTTTGACAGTAGCGCCCTGCTCGGTGCCCACATGCAGCTTCACAAGCCCACCCAGGAGCCGCTGGTGTGCAAGGACTGCAACAAGCAGTTCAGCACTCTGAACAGGCTCGACCGGCACGAGCAGATCTGTGTGCGCTCCAGCCACATGCCGATTCCTGGAGGAAACCAGCGTTTTCTGGAAAACTACCCCACCATTGGACAGAATGGAAGTTCATTCACCGGGCCAGAGCCTCTGTTGTCTGAAAACAGGATCAGCGAATTTTCCAGTACCGGCGGCACCTTGCCAGAGACGGACCACATGGTTAAATTTGTGAATGGGCAGATGCTCTACAGCTGTGTTGTGTGCAAACGGAGTTATGTGACGTTGTCCAGCCTCCGAAGGCACGCGAACGTTCACTCGTGGAGAAGAACCTATCCCTGCCATTACTGCAACAAAGTGTTTGCGTTGGCCGAGTACAGGACAAGACATGAAATTTGGCACACAGGAGAAAGGCGCTATCAGTGCATTTTCTGCCTCGAAACTTTCATGACCTACTATATTCTCAAGAACCACCAGAAGTCTTTCCATGCCATAGATCATAGACTTTCCATCAGTAAAAAAACAGCCAATGGAGGCCTGAAGCCTAGTGTCTATCCATATAAACTTTACAGGCTCCTGCCCATGAAATGCAAGAGGGCTCCTTACAAAAGCTACCGAAATTCTTCCTATGAAAGTGCCCGAGAAAACAGTCAGATGAATGAATCTGCCTCTGGCCCCTATGTTATTCAGAATCCACATGGCTCTGAGTTACCGACGCTGAATTTCCAGGACCGCGTCAACACCCTGACCAACAGTCCAGCCATCCCCTTGGAAACGTCTGTACGTCAGGAGGTGCCCACCTCTGCCAATGTACAGAACACAGAGGGGACCAAATGGGGAGAGGAATCGCTGAAAGTTGACCTCGATAGTAACTTTTATTCTGCCGAGGTGTCCGTCTCTTCTGCTGAGAACGCTGGCAGCTCTGATGCCCCGGCCGGGGACGTACCTGTCCCATCTTTGAGTAACAGCAGCGAGAACGCAGCCTCTGTGATCAGCTACGGTGGCTCAGCACCCTCGGTCATCGTGCACAGTAGCCAGTTCTCGTCGGTGATAATGCACAGCAACGCCGTGGCTGCCATGCCCAGCAGCAACCCCCGCGTCCCCTCCGAGCCACCTGTCAGCCAGCCCCTGAAAGACGACGGCAAACCTGAGCCTGACAAAGTGAGCAGAACGGTCAGCCGACCCAAGAGCATCAAGGAGAAAAAGAAAACCGTGCCCGGTAACAAGGCAGAAGTAGCAGAGGAGTCCAAGTACGGGACCGATCCTGGAGGGTCGGTGAGCAAAACTGCAAATACGAAGGAAACCAGTAAAATTGAAACCTACATTGCCAAGCCCGCTCTGCCCGGAACCTCCACAAACAGTAACGTCGCGCCCCTTTGCCAGATCACAGTGAAGATCGGAAACGAGGCCATCGTGAAAAGGCACATCCTCGGATCCAAGCTCTTCTACAAAAGAGGAAGAAGACCCAAGTACCAGATGGAGGAGGAGGCGTTGCCGCCAGAGAGTGACCCAGAAACCAACAGAGACAGCCCTCTCGGGCTCTGCCAGTCCGAGTGTATGGAGATGAACGAGATGTTTGACGACGCCAGTGACCAGGATTCCACTGACAAGCCCTGGCGTCCTTACTACAACTACAAACCCAAGAAGAAATCCAGACAGCTGAGGAAGATGAGGAAGGTTAACTGGAAGAAAGAACACGAAAACAGGAGCCCAAGCGCTAAGTGCAGATACCCAGCAGAACTGGACTGTGCCGTGGGGAAGGCTCCTCAGGAGAAGGCCTTTGAGGAGGAAGAAACCAAGGAGATGCCCAAGTTGCAGTGTGAGCTCTGTGATGGGGACAAAGCCTCGGGGGCCGGGAACCAAGGGAGGCCCCACCGGCACCTCACTGCTCGGCCTTACGCCTGCGAGTTCTGCGCCAAGCAGTTCCAGAGCCCGTCCACCCTCAAGATGCACATGAGGTGTCACACTGGAGAGAAGCCGTACCAGTGCAAGACGTGCGGGCGGTGCTTCTCGGTGCAGGGCAACTTGCAGAAACATGAACGCATCCACCTGGGTGTGAAGGAGTTCATCTGTCAGTACTGCAACAAGGCATTCACGCTCAACGAGACCCTCAAGATCCACGAAAGGATCCACACAGGTGAGAAGCGCTACCACTGTCAGTTCTGCTTCCAGAGCTTTTTGTACCTTTCCACAAAAAGGAATCACGAGCAGAGGCACATTTGGGAGCATGATGGGAAGGGCTATGCCTGCTTCCAGTGCCCCAAAATTTGCAAAACAGCTGCTGCCCTTGGAATGCACCAGAAGAAACACTTGTTCAAAAGTCCAAGTCAGCGGGAGAAAGTAGAAGGTGACATGTGTCAGGAGAACTCAGACCCCCTGGAGAACCCACATGTCCATGACTCAGAAGACAGTGACCAAAAGGATAACGTACAAACCATTGTTGAAAATGTCCTTTGAGTGGCAATACTTAGAAAAGTCTTCAAAGATATAAGTTGGTGGCTTTGTTGTTTTGGGGTTTTGTTTTTGTTTTGTTTTTAGTTAGCTGTTTTCTTCTGTTGTTGGTGGGTTTTTTTTGTTGAGTTTTGTTCACACAACAGTCATAAGGAGTGAAACATAAAAAAGAAAATCTCATTTGTGAAAATTCCAGAAAAAGGATCCTAATATCTACTTTGGGTTTTAGCATTAACTTCATGCAAAGTGCACAAAAATGAAATAGCCGAATCCTCCAGTATCCCAAGTATCTTATGGAAGTTTATGAAGTTCTTAGCTGTGGTATTTCTGCCAGTGGGGGGTGGGGTGGGGAAGAGTCTAATGTTAGCCTAATTTACAACATTCTAGTAAGTGCTGATAGCAACTGGCTGCTAAGCTCTCTTTAGTCACTGGAGAAAATGAGGGTCAGATATCATGAAAACATCATCTTCATAAATATGGTAGAAGATAAATGATCTATTATAGTCATTTTTCCCATCCAGCTTTTGTGCTTTTAAAAATTGTTTAAATTAGTGAATATATATGAAATATTTAATATTATAGCTGAAAATATGTGTGAAATTGAGTAACCTAAGTAGGACGTTCATTATGTAGAACTACTTTTCTGCAACACAAACCTTGTAAAGTGCATATATAAATCACTATGACTTTTAACTGTCCATGTCCCCTGTAGAGAATTCTAATGACAAGCAATAGATCTGCAAATAATGAGGAACTGATGGAAAAATCAGTAGAATAAGCATCTTGAATCTGATTTAAGAGCATATAATGTATGCTTTTAGATGGAATGCCATTCCCTTGAAGTTATGGCTGAGCTATTACTAGAACTGGTCTCCTCCAGACGCAGAAAATATAGGTCATGCCTTATCTGCAGGGGAGAGCCCTCCCAGGACTCTTCTGTGATTACCTGTGCTGTATATTACTTTGCAGTGGCCTCACCTCAGAAAATAAAGAAGGATCAAATTCTTCTGAAACTCCTGCAGTCTTCCATCCATCACAAGGCCATGGATGGGGAGGTCTTTTTCAGAGAGACCTCATCAGTCTCAGGGGTTTAAGTAAAACCTGACACATCCTGTTCCACTGAAGGGAGTGTCCAGGAGATTTAGTGCAAATCATGAGTATGACGGTGAGTTCCCAAGCACTTGAAAGCGACAGAAAGCCTAATCCCTGTAGTCGTTAGCTTTCTTGGAGATTTTGCAGCCCACAAGTGTACACTAGTATAAAACAAAAGGACATCAGGAAGACACCTCCACCTCACCCATTAACGACTTGAGTGGGTGAGAGGAAGCGATGACCTTCCTTGCCTCAAATGGTAGCTTTGCTTTTTGGGGGTGGGGGTGGGGAGATAGAATGCAGAGTGAGAAGATTCCATCACTTATTTATATGACTCAGAAACATATCCCCAAAGCCGGATGCCTTGTCTTCGTGTTTGCAGACATCCAGCTCCCTTGCTAAAAACCCACTTAAGTTGTTTCGTGTTCTTTAATGCTGCCCCACACCGTTAGCATTGCCCTCGAAGTCCAGTTGCCCTGTAGGATATTCTGTCATGGGACTAGGTTCTAGGAAGCTGGAACTCATCGCTCTTACGTTTAAGCTGCCAGGATAGGAGGGAGAGAGAAAACATTCCTACCCTTTGATCACCAGTGTGAGCAGAATCCGGAACCTGGCTTAAGGGCGACCTACGGCCATTCATGTTCATGGGATTTGATAGATGGAAGCTCAAGGTTATCCAAGGTTTCAAGGTCACCATTATGAAGATGTAGTTCAAAGGACTCCAGTTCCTCTCTCCAAGTATTGTGATATCTCCACGAAGAAGACTTAACGTGGATTTGGGTGGGCAAGAAAGTGTTTAAACACCCAGAGAAGGACATGATCAGAGCTGACCTTTTTATATAGTAGTATTTTGCTGTTAAGTAACCCCAATACTGCATCTGCATTTATCTTTTGTTCATCTACTTTCATTTACATACAGTATTATGTAATAGAGGAAATGGGAAAATGCAAGCAAATTCAACTTTATTTTATACATTGTATATATGTATACCTGCACTATTCATTTGGGTTTTGTTAAAAGAGATAGTCACAAAGGGCTTATGAATTGATAATTAGAATATTGAATAGGCAATTCTGTGATCTACTAACTTGTTTTATCCCAATTAAGATTATTAATCAAAGAGAATTACTGTGTATTTCAGTCATTTTAATTTGGGGTAACTCTAAATATAAAATTATTACATGTAGTGATGTCTCCCAGCCCTTACATGTGGAAATTTTCTAAGTGGACTTGTATGCTGATAATTCTAGACCAAAGTAAATATGGCAGAATATTTATACATGAAAAAAATAATTTTGCAAATATTTTCTATAATTGTATTATTCGTTCAAAATGTTGATAGCTTGTGTTAGTTTCAGGGAGGGGTGTATATTTTGATAAAAAAATACTTGACTTTGTAATTCTGTATATTCTATACAATTTATAGCAGAGCCGTTTTAAGACAGCCTTGTCACATTTTTTTTGTTGTTGTTAATTGTGAAAACTTTATCCTGAGTGATGTTTCAGTATGCATTGAGTACATAACGACCAACTAGAATTAAAGTAGGTGTAAACAGTGAACATACTGTATGCTGTACAAGATATATTGTGATTTGCTGTTTCAGCATCTGTATTTTGGTTAGAAGATATTATTAAATGCAGATGTTAAGGGTTGGAAAAGTCTAATTTTATTTTTAGAAATAATGAATACAAATTTGGTTTTGCTTGATTAAAATAGCTTATTCCTATGTTAAGTCTCTTAAATGTTTTAATGTTACTTCTTTTGTGTAGCCAAGCAGCAGTTTTCTCTTTGTGAGTCCCAGCATTGTTTCACATATCATTCACTTAATATACTTCTGTTTCCTTACTTGTTCCCATTCCATGATACCTACTTACATGCTTAGGATCCACATGGAATATATATTAAAAGAAAAAAAAAGGAAGAATAAGAGAGATGGAAACCTTATCATTCACTGCTTTGGATAGGCCTGACCTTGCCATGGGGAATCTGAGAGCTCTGGAAATGTTTTCTACTCCACTCATTCCCAGGGGACAAATCCCACTCAGTACCAGGTGTTAGGCACCATTCTTGCCATGGGCCATTTCATTCAGGTCTTTCCCGACAAGGCTGGGAAATCGACCTCACTATCCACATTTTCTAGCGACTTTGAGAAGATCCCACAGCCAGACGGAGCCAGGATTCCAACCTAGGGCTTCCTGACTCCAGAGCCAAATTTATTTTTCTTTTCAACACCTTAAAAGTAAAATCTTCCTGGAAACTGAACAAGGAGTGAGGAAGAGAGGCCCGAGGAATGCCCGCAGCTCTAGGACAGCAGCTGTTCTGGTGACGGCGTTCGGGGCTGTACTGGCCTCAGCTCTCCCTGGCACACCCCTGCTTTCTGTACTCAAATCTCAACACTTTGGGTGTTTGGCTTTCCCCCTTGATGTTGGGATACTGCCCTACAAAATAATTTTTTAAAAATCTGTGCACTTTTTTTTCAAGATTATGGAGCAAAATTACCATTTTATGCTGTTACAAGCTAGTACTTTCTCACACAAAGAAAAAAAGTGTGTTCCATCATCACAGACTATATTCCTAACCTTAACTCAGTATCTTCAGATGCCTGCGGTTAGTCGCAGTAGATAACGTGAAAGGGAGTGCCGGGGGCTGCCACCCATCACCAACACAGGGAAAAGAATTCAGATTACCAGCCCTCCTCACAGCTGGCCAGTAACATCAATTTTGTACTTGAAGGGTAATCCAAACCAATTCCGGACCAAAAATTCGATAACTCCTGTCTGTTGAAACTAACGTCATTGATCTAGCGAAACAAACAGATTCAATATTGAAAGAATTTGTAACATTTGAGAAAGTAACTGGATTAAAAGCATCAAACCAAATCACGCAAAGCAATCCTATTTGTACATATTGTATCAATTACTTTGGGTCTTTTTATTCCTGTTGCTCGCCTTCCTCTTTTCTCATTACCTATTGGTTGATTTGGTTCCACGCCCTCTGTCTCTATCGGGTTCTCTTTGCAGAGGCAGTTTCCTCCATCTGTGAGAACTCGTCACCTTCCTCTTCCCCAAATCCTGGTGGGCTATTAATCTCCCTTCTCCCTCCCCCAGTATGCACCCCTTGATGCTGATTCTTCAAGTATGGTGGTCAGTGGACAGGCAAGTTGGCATGGTGTACAATTTTTAAAATGAAACTCTCCAAATTTAGACAACTAATGGAAGAATTGGTGATAACAGGAATATGGTTACGCTTTTAAAGATTTTTTAAGTTACTATTTCATTCTTGACATCTAAGACCTCAGTTCTGTTTATTTAAAATCTTTTGCTGGGGTGGGATGTGCCTGGGTGGCTCTGTCGGTAAAGCATCTGACGTCAGCTCAGGTCATGATCTCAGGGTCCTGGGATCGAGCCTCATGTTGTCCGGGCTCCCCGCTCAGCAGGGAAACACTTTTCCCTCTCCCTCTTCCACATCCACTGCTCACTCTCTCTCTCTCTCTCTCAAAAACTAAATCTTTTTTTTTTTTTGGAAGAACCTTTTGCTGAGGAGTCAAAAGCAATTTTTTCCCCCAATAATTTAAAAAGCTGTAACTTTGGGGCACCTGTGTGGCTCAGCCATTAAGCGTCTGCCTTGGGCTCAGGTCGTGGTCCTAGGTCCTAGGATTGAGCCAGACATCAGGCTCCCTGCTCAGCGGGAAGCCTGCTTCTCCCTCTCACACTCCCCTTACTTGTGTTCCCTCTCTTGCTATCTCTTTCTCTGTCAAATAAATAAATAAAATCTTAAAAAAAAAAAAAAGCTATAACTTCTATGCAATTGTGGGTAAGGATGTTATTCCTGTTACAGGAAACTTTGGTATGCAGAGATTTAAAAGATGTCACAATGCTAATTTATGTAGAATTTTCATTCATTCATTCAAAATATGTTTAATATTGAGTCTCAGGTGCTGTGGCCAGGACTATAGACATCTAAGAAGTAGCCTGTGCCTTCAAGAAGCTGGATCCGGGGAAGGAGACTGAATGAGGCAAGCATGGATTATAAAACAAACTCTTGAGCTCCTGGGAGCTCAGAAGCAGATTGGATTGTGTTGGGTCATGAGAGAGATGGCTCAGAACTAGGGTGGAGGGAGCCTGGGCATCTCCAGATGGGCAGGCCCCGGTAGGAGTGGCTAA